TGGAGTTAAATGTAATTTAAAAACTACAAACGCAAATTTTTTTGCGTAAACGCATATATGCGTTTGAAATAGGAAAGAGAAATTAAATACTGCATTTTGCGTCCTTCTTTGTCGTTGGGTTGGAGTTCTTTTACCCCAATTTTTGCGATTTTGGGTGCCAGTTGGAGACGGTGTAAATTAAAACTTCGCAACATTTACATCAATGGCGGCGGCTCGCGGCCGAGTTTCTCGACCGATTTTTCGAGCCGTAATCTGTTACCCGACGGCGGCTGAAATCCGCCGCCGGTTTCACGATTCTTCTTCGGCATCAAGTAATGGCCCTATGCTCCAGAAGCTTCTGAAAACGCCCATCTCGAGACTCAAAGCAACGCTCGAATCTGAGTTCAGCGACCAATCAACCGAGTTCCCTTGCCCCGCTCTATTGTCTTCTCTCAATTCATCTGCTCCGCAGAAAGCTAACTTAGTAAGTTCTTTTTCTAATTGAATATCAGTTCTTTCCCTTTTATTATTATCAGTTCTGGAGCATTCACCATTGAGCGAGTCTATGACTGAAGATATGGTTTCTTCATTGTTGATTGTTGTCTTCTGTTAGTACTAACAGTAAGTTTCTGTGCTTGCTATAGCCAGGTTCTGGAATGGAAATTAGAGAAATTGGCGAATGGGGTCACGAAAAACCACGATTGTTATGCATATTTGATATATTTATGCCAAAACATTAGAAATCTACCAGCAGCAATGTTCATATTCTCTTCAATGGAGGCTCGGGGAATTAAGCCTACGTCCTCAATCTTCAACTCACTAATATCCACGAGCATATCTTCGGGCAATTTTCTCACAGCATTAAGTCTTTTCGAGATCATGAAGGGCTCGGACGACCACGGCCCCAATTACGAAACTTTTACTATTTTTATTTCGGCATATGCGAATTTGGGAAACAAAAGTGCGACCGAAGCTTGGTTAGCAGCTAAAAGGGCCTCCGGATTTCCCACCGACGTTGAGGCGTACGGTTTTCTTGTACAGTGTTGTGTCAAATCAAAAGCTTGCGAAGATGCTCAGAGATATTTTGATGAGATGATGTCGGCTGGTTTATTGCCTAATGAACGTGTTCTACAAAACATGCTAATAATGTACTGTCAGCAAAGAAATTTTTGTGGGGTTGAGGAGATGTTGAAGTTTTTAATCCATGGTAATTTTCGAATTGATTTAGATGGCGCCAAAAGGATTGTTCGTTTTTACTGCGAATTGGGACTGGTTAAGGAGCTAGAAGAATTAATTGTAATTTTGACTGAGTCGGGTCAAGCTCCAGACGTCCTTGCACTGGTTTACTGCTCCGTAATAAGACTGTATGCGGACTTGGATAGATTAGATGATGTTGAGTATTCAGTTGGGAGAATGCTGAAGAGTGGAATTTCATTTACTTGCAAAGAGGATGTAGAGAAGGTAATTTGTTGTTATTTCAGGAAGGAAGCTTATGATAGGCTGGACCTGTTTCTCGAATGTATTAAAGATTCCTACAAACTGACTCGGCCGATTTATGATTTGTTGGTTGCCGGCTACCGAAGGGCAGGACTGTCGGGAAAATTGGACATCATGTTGAAACAGATGAAGTTAGCTGGGTTTGCATAATTTGCCTTGAATCATGTGTTCTTAACATTGTATCATGTATTTATTTACTTTTGTTGTTGTTTCCATCGAGTGCAATGCCTGTAATTTGCACATTTCATTTACAAATAAACCAGCTTCAACAGTCTCTTTTTTTTTGTCGAGATTGGTTGGTTGAAGATTTTGAACTGTATTAACTATTAACTGAGTTGAAGTTGCTATCCTCGAGGCTCAAAGGGCTCAATTGGACAGATCAAAATCTTCTCGTTTCCGTTTAATACAACCATCAATGCAACAAAGACAATAATATTCAAGCTCCAAGACAATGTCTTCCTCCCGAATTTTCTTCTTCGATCCACCGAACTTCCCCACCAAGATCTCGGCCGAGCCGGCCTTCGCAGCAGAAAATTAGCAGTAACAGCAAATGATCAATTGTCTTGCCTCCCCGCCTCTATAGCCCGCCACTCCGGCCTTGCATTTGTTGGCGACCCGCCACAAATTCGTGCCTGTGAGATCTCGACCAAACAATACCTAAAATTGTCACAAACAATTTTGACTTTTATTTGAGTATAATTTTTGGCTAAGGTATAATGATTTATTTCCAAAAATAAATCTCAAACATTTACTTTAGGGAAATTTACATATCTATACACTATCTCTTACCCCATCCCATTTATATTAATTCAGAACGTACTTAGCTTAAGTGGCAGGTTTGCATATTTTAGGATCTTATATGGTAAAATTACATGATTCGTTATTAGGTTTGGATAGATTTTAATCAAATCAAAAAATAATTAAGTTCGAATTATACATAAATATGTTGATTATTTTGTGGTCATGTTACATGTATTAATTTTATTTTAATATCATTTCTTATTATAACCATTGAATTGTAAATGTATTTTTAAAAAATTAATAACTTTTGTAGTTTTTAATCAGTTATATATATATATCAAATTAATCATCTCTTGATGAGTTTCGATTTAACATCCATATTGTATGTATAAATAAATTATTTATCAATTAATATATTTATATTTCAAATAGTCATATGATATAAGTTAGAAAAATTACTATAATATAACACGTGTAAGTTGCACAAACAACAAGTGTCGTTTTAAAATATATAATAATATATATATTTTTGTAATAATGGATTGAGCATGATATAATCATTCTTGATAAAATCAAAGGTTATCTAGCAATTCAATTAACACATATAAAATTGAATAATATATCATTTATATTGAAATTACTCCCTTCATTTAAAATTAAATTTTCAAAATTTGCACTTTACACGAACCACTTAAAAGAAGCCCCCAATTGACAGAGA